ACAGTTCAGCACACTTCAGAATGGATAAGAATTCAATTTTGTTTAATCTGATTTCCAAAATTTTGGGGGGGCTGAGCGTCAAGTTAGCCCCCCAGTAGGATTTTTGTCGGAAAATGACCGAATATGGAAATTTTGAGAAAAACCTGATACAGCACAGTTCAGCACACTTCAGATTGGATAAGAATTCAATTTTGTTTAATCTGATTTCCAAAATTTTGGGGGGGCTGAGCGTCAAGTTAGCCCCCCAGTAGGATTTTTGTCGGAAAATGACCGAATATGGAAATTTTGAGAAAAACCTGATACAGCACAGTTCAGCACACTTCAGACTGGATAAGAATTCAATTTTGTTTAATCTGATTTCCAAAATTTTGGGGGGGCTGAGCGTCAAGTTAGCCCCCCATCTATTTTTTCCTATAACTTTGTTATCGAAACGGCACAGTTCAAAATATCACCGGCACAGTAGAGCACACTTCGAGCACAGTCAGTGGTTGCAATTTTTTTAGAAAATTCGAATGTGGGGGGGCTAACTTGACGCAGCCGATTGTTTTTATATATGCTGCGATTTTAGTACATGGGGCAGGGCCGCCGCTAAGGTGTTGGCCGCCTGTCTGCAACTCAATATCTGCCGCCCCTTTCCTGTCTGGGTTTTTTCTTTTTAGAACGGGGGTGCGTAAGCCCGCCGCAAGCGCCGCCAGAGGCAGAAATTTTTTTCGGGTTCCACGCCCAAAAACGTTTATTTTGAGCCTTCAAAAAAACATTTGGAAAATCTTTTACGGCAGGGAAGTCACTGCCTCCCCTAGAATTATATTTCTGTTTGGATTAGGATGAAAAAAAGAAGAAAACTTAAATAAAATGCATGCATTCCAGTATTTTCTATGCAGACAAAGCTTATAAAATAATTATTGTTATATAAATATTGGAGTTTACAAAATCATTATTATTTAATTTAAATGAATTTTTCTCGTTGTTTGGAAAAAAAAGTAGGTACTATCAGTGGGTTCTGCTTTGGCCGCCCCTATTTTTGGCTGCCCGTGTGCGGTGCACACTTTAGACACGTGGTAGCGGCGGCCCTCACAGGGGGTGAACTTCATATCCAATAACCCTGTACGTCATTGAAAGCATCGACTCAGCGGCTGGGTTCGGTAATTGCGTCTGCGAGCAGAAAAAGCGAATTTTGACGGACGTCAGGCGGGTATCACTTATCCACCACTTATCTTTTTTCACGTGTCAAATCACGTAACATCTGTCAAATTTTGCTCATTTTGCTCTTTGCTCGCAGATGCAATTCCAATTACCGAATCCAGCCGGTGATTCACCGAGTTTCCGTTGCCCTGTGCATGCTAAATTAGCATAAAAATACTATCCTTTCTGAATTATGATAGTAAAATAGTATTTAATTACCTACTCGGAAACTTGCCTTTTAGCTTTTTTTTTTGCACTTTGCCTATTTTGGTGCCCCTGTGCCAGCTGCGTCCTGGGGGGGAGATTCCCCCGTCTCCCCCCCCCTGTTGGCTACGCCCCTGGCTCCACTCCAACATCGGCGACAGTAATGATGCAGAAGGCGAACGCGATCTGATGAGCCAATTCCAGTCTAACTGCTTGAAGCGGTTGAAGAGACAGAAGGTATTAATTTATGTAATATTTTGCATCATTACATGCATTTTCGCTTAGTTTTTTCTAGTATCACACTTCTCAATGTAGGTAATATTTTTTTATTGGAACAACAGCCACAATTTAGTATATTCAGCCTGGATCCTGGATCTCCCACCAGCTGCTGACTCTTTGTCCGGGGACCTTCGATTGCTTGAAACCCTTTACCTGGACCTTCTGGGACGACCCAAAACTAAATCTATATAGTATAATCATTTTCTACATTAATTTGTTTTTCAGATAGAGGACCCACTTAAAAGAATGATGATCCTGTGCAAGTATTTCAATCATTTTGTTTATTGTCAGTTTAATGTAACTACCGAATAAGTTGTACCTAAATATAATCTCTTAATGTTTTCATCAAACATGGCTTGCCATGTAACTTATTTGAAAATAGTTCTCATAAAAATCTTTATGAAAAAATTAAATAGGTATAGCAGACATCTTTTTCGTAATATTTAAAGAACTCGCACGTGAAAAAGGGTCTATTAACATATCATATTTCTTGGATTGCAGGGGATGAAAGTGGGTGTTTCAGACGTTTTTGTGAAAATACAAAAAAAAAAAAACCTTGTTTTTCACTGAGCACTAGCGCAGAGACCGCTTATCATAAGATCAAAGACGACTAGTGCATTTTGTAGGAAATTTTATTTACTTCAATTTTGTAGTGAACGCTTATCTTCAAAATACGTATTGTTTTTGAGATATAAGCCAAAAACTGGAAAAAATGCTAAAAAAATCAGATTTTTTGGCTATGAAGCCGACCTCCTACAAGGTAGCAAACCATAAACTCGGTTTCAGCACCCTCGAAAACATGTAAAAGCGTTGAAAGGAAAAAATTCGCAGTTTTCTTACGAAAACGGCAGTTTTAAACACGCATTTACTGGACTATTTAAACCCGACTGCGATTTGAATGCGACCATCTGCCAGGGTTTTCTTTTTTAATTTTGGTTAGTAACATATTTGGTAATATTTTGACACAAAAATTACAGTGGTAACCTATGAGGTAGTTGATGGCGTTTTTTTGACTTTTCAGAAAAAATTAAATCTAATAAAGCGACCACTTACGCCCGGCAGACGGACGGTTTTGAAATTACCATGTGAGGTAGTACCGACATGTCAATTCAACCCTTATTGGTAACTTATGAGGTAGTTGTTTTTACGGCCAGCTCTCGGACTAATAGTAAAATTCCAAATTTTTCCAGTGGAAATTAATTCCATTGGAAATTAATGAAAATCAACTAATTAGACCATCTAACATTTTATTTTTTTTCTGGAAAACTATCCAGTAGAAAATTATGAAATTTTCTGGAAAAAAAAGAAAAGTCAAGGGCGTATCATACTAAAATTTCAAATTTTCTCAATGAAAAATAACCCCATTGGAAATTAATGAAAATCAACTAAATTAGACATAAATGCACCATTTAACATTTTATTTTTTTTTCTGGAAACTATTCAAGGGAAAATTATGACATTTTCTGGAAAAAAAAAGAAGAAATTCAGGGGCGTATCATAGTAAAATTTTTAATTTTTCCAATGAAAAATAACCTTATTGGAAATTAATGAAAATCAACTAAATTAGACATAAATGCGCACCATCTAACATTTTATTTTTTTTCTGGAAAACTATTCAGGAGAAAATTATGACATTTTCTGGAAAAAAAAGAAGAAAATCAGAGGCGTATCATAGTAAAATTTCAGATTTCTTCAGTGGAAAATAACCCCATTGGAAATTAATAAAAATCAACTAAATCAGGCATAAATGTTAATGTACCATCCAACATTTTTTTTTATTCTGGAAAACTATTCAAGAGAAAATTATGACATTTTCCGGAAAAAAAAGAAGAAAGTCAGGGGCGTATCATAGTAAAATTTTAAATTTTTCCAATGAAAAATAACCTCATTGGAAATTAATGAAAATCAACTAAATTAGACATAAATGCGCACCATCTAACATTTTATTTTTTTTCTGGAAAACTATTCAGGAGAAAATTATGACATTTTCTGGAAAAAAAAAAGAAAATCAGAGGCGTATAGTGAAATTTCAGATTTCTTCTGTGGAAAATAACCCCATTGGAAATTAATAAAAATCAACTAAATTAGGCATAAATGTTAATGTACCATCCAACATTTTATTTTTTTCTGGAAAACTATTCAAGAGAAAATTATGACATTTTCTGGAAAAAAAAGTAGAAAGTCAGGGGCGTATCATAGTAAAATTTCAAATTTTTCCAGTGGAAAATATACCCATTGGAAATAAATGAAAATCAACTAAATTAGACATACCTAAATGCACCATCTTACATTTTATTTTTTTTCTGGAAAACTATTCAAGGGAAAATTATGACATTTTCTGGAGAAAAAGAGAGAACTCCGGGGCGCATCACACTAAAATTTAAAATTTTTTCCACGAAAAACAACAAAATTAAAAATAATTTTAAAAATTAAATAGGGGTGCGTTCGATAACATCTTTTTTGGTATAAAAGAAGGACCCGCTAAGGAAAATCAATGGAATTGACAATTGACAGTGTAAACCCAGTTACCAAAAAAACAAAGTAACACTTGCCAGTTGACATTTAAAATGTCAACTGTCAAAAAATACATGCTCTATCAATACTAAAACAACAGTGCCTATTTATTCAGCTGAAAAAAAAAAAAAACAAGGTGACTAGACATAAGGGCTTGCACGCCAACATATTAGGAAACCAATAGGATTGGGACTTGTTGTTAATAGAAAGTAGGATTAGGATTAAGAAGTGAATAAATAGATTAAGGGCTTGCAGCCAACAAATTAGGATTTAAAATAGGCTAAGGAGAACTGGAATAAGGAATTTTCCAGTAAAAAACTAAATAATTCGATAATGCATAATTATAGTATTTTAGGCGTACTATAATGACCTTTGATAGTACATAGTACATAACCATTCAATTATAGTACAAATACTATAATTATACTGTTGGAAACACTGCTGAATAATCACGCCTCTCCACATCCATCATTTCTCAATGTTGCCGGATTTTTTTCTATTTCAAAATACTACAAGCAAATTCTATTGCAATTCGCCGTTTGGCTAGCCAGACAATAAAAGTCAGGTATATTTAACACATTTATATTACCAGTACTATTCATGAGTGCTGTAATGTAATGTTGCCATACGTGTAATATACAACATTTTATCTACTACCCAGATTTTTGTTATTTCTTATCTTTTGAGTGTTTTTGATTTTTCACAAATGATTATTTGGTGACCCTAAGCTCAAAACTGAAAAAAAATAGCCATTATAGGGTGGAGTGGAGGAATAAGATTATTTTAATGAAATAAGTAAGCATGTACACAAAAATTTCATTAAAATATTTTATTACTGTGCAAGTCAAAATTTCTAAAATAATTTCTATAATAAATCCATAGTCAAAAACTAAAATAAGGCAATTTACAAAAAAACACATAATAATAGCTCAAAACCACAATAAAAATTTAACAATAATAAGTTTACTGATCTTAACTTTAAAACGTTTTTTGCTTTGAAACCTACATACCTAATAATATCAAAACTTAAAATTAAATCAGTTATTATTCCTTCTTCAAAGCAAAATAAACATCGTGCACACTAACATTCAAAATAATCCTTTGATAAATGTCGCTGCACTTCTGATCAGTTAAAATCAGTTTGCACGCGCTGAGCTGACTAAGAGCACGCTGAGCTATCGTAGATGAAACCATTTTAAAACCATCCAAAGCACAACAAGACACCAACATTTTGAAAACTTCAGCAAATGTGGTTTCTTCTACGCCTGTCCTTTCAATTTCAGCAACTACTGCTTGAAGCAAAAGTTTCTGTAAGCGTGAACACTTGCGCATAGCCATTACTTGAGGCTGAGTGATCATGGCGTTTAGAGCTTCATTTATGTGCATGATATTGACCGTTTGGTCCTTGCCTTCTTCTTCAGCTAATTCAGCTGCTCTTCTACAGATGTCAAGGGCACGCCTTGCATCGCCTGATACTGAGGCTACTTTTCTGGCAACTAGCTGTACAGCATCAGAATTAAAACTATCAATGCCTGAAAGTCTTTTTGTAACAATTTCCATTAGCTGTTTATGAGTGTAAGCTTGGAATGTTAAGCGAGTTAACCCTAAACGACTGGTAACTCTGCTCATGAGTAATCTTTCTGGCAGATCCATTGTGTTGGCAATAGTAATAACAATCAACTGATCTTTAGATTTAGTAGGCCAATCTAAAAGATTGTACACAACATCCTGTCTTTTGGTGCACAGAATATCCAATTCATCTATTAGCATTACAACAGTACTTTGGTTCTTTTTTTTAGTAAACCTTTCTTCCAATAAACTTTGAGCTTGCACCCAAGGAACCATTTTACCTGTCAATTGCTTCCAGATTTCAACATATGACTGTCTCGGCTCTGTAAGTCTCATACCATTAATATTGACATAACTGAATTTTGAAACTTTTTTGTCACTCAACAAGCTTTCTATCACTGAAGTAACGGTTGCCGTTTTTCCGGTACCAGGTACACCAGAGATGTACATGCATCCTCCACAACTATCATCCAACTTTCCTCTTAGAAAATTATAAATGTCCAAATATTCTTTTTCTCTGCAAGGTAATGAGGTTGGGACATAGGAAACGTGCAGCTGTGATCTGGCTCTCATTAGTGGGGTACTATCTCTTGGGATAATTTTTGATCTTGAGTGCATCGAAGGAGTGATAACGCCATCCCTCAGAAGTTTTAATGGATTTTTTGGAGTTTTTGGAGCAGTTTTAGGTGTAGTGGTGGTTAGACGTCTAGTTCTAGGAGTTTTAGGGGTTTTTGGTGTTAGAATTTCTTTTTTTGATACCTTTTCTGGAGACAAGTGAACAAATACTTCAGAATTAGTTCTTGATTTGGTTCTGAAATGAAACATTTTTAAATAAAAAAAAATATAATTGAATATAGAGTATCAACTAACAGTCTTTTATTTCCAGGGATAGAATCATTGTCAGTGTCCATGGAACTAAAGGAACAGCTCGGGGAATAGTTTGAAGCTATAGAGCTACTTCTAGATCTCAAAACTCTTTGAAAACAAAAAAAAATAAATTAGTATTTAAATTTAAAAATGAAATGTTATTACCTTTTAGTAGTGGGTTTAGAAATTTCCATTTTACTATTTTTTAGAGCCACTTCGAAAGCTTCTGCGTCGTCATCTTCCGAATCATAAAATTGCTTATAACTTGTTCTTGCACGTCCCAGTGTACGTCTAAAAAGTCAACTATTGTTTTTGACCTAGGAACAATATAATGTAAAAAGTAAATACCTTCTGCTGCTATCATCAGAGTCTTTTTTGATATTTTCTTCATTGTGTCTGCTCTTCAATATTGTTCGTCTGAATGATTCATTTAAATTCTTTCTTGCAGATTTTTGTAGACTGTAGTCAGAATATCTTTGTGGGGTCTGGATTCTACGTTTGCCCTGAAAATAATTCAGTAAGGGATGACACAATGGCGAACATTAGTAAAATTATTACAAATAAGTCGTAATAATATAACAATTAGCTGTAGAGCAAATAAGTAAATGCAAGGTAGAATTATTATTGGAAATCAAACACTGTATAAAATACTATTACATAAACCATTAAAAAAATAGATACTCACTTGATTTTCGTCCATTGGACTAAGATTAAGATCAACTCTCTTAGAAGCTTTTCTCGAAGGTGTAGTTTTAACAGGTGTTTTCACGAGAGTCCCTTTTTTTGCTGGAGATCCTTCATTATCAAGTGTATCCTCATTTTTGGATAAAAATCTTTTTGTGGGAGTCTTCAGGTTGATTTTATTTGTTAACTCACATAAACTGTACAAATTTTCATCAGAGTCGCTGTCAACATAATCTGGAATAATCACAGTTTAATTATTTTATATCCTACTGAACTATTAAAACCATATAATACCTTGGTTACGATAAGAGTTAAGGATTTTCATAACTCCCAAGGGAGTTAAGGAAGGGAGTTAAGAATATCATAACTCCCAAGGGAGTTAAGGATTTCCATAACTCCCGCTTTTACCTTGAATAGGTAACACTTTGACAAAAAATAGAAATTTTGATTTATGGCTTATTCCTTTATAAAAATAGACAGAATACAGTAAATTCAGTAGGATATAAAATTATCTATGTACCACGGGAATTATCAGGAGTTAATACCCACGGGCACAAACGTTGCCCTGGGGTATTAACACCTGCATAATTCCCTTGATACATAAATAACTATAAAGCCTTAGTTTTAGGTTTATTACAATATAATACATGTATAATAAGTTAGGTTGACACTTACATGTTTTCTTTGGTGTTCCTCGAGGTCTCTGTATTTTAGGACTATTCATTTCAACATCCATTATTTCTGTTTCCTCATTAGAGCTTCTTTTTTTAGGAGTTGATTTAGCTTTAGGATGAGTGTCAGATAAAATATTCACTTCATAATCTTCGAAGCTCCTCATTTTGCGAGGTCTAGTAGAGGTTCTCGGGGAAACAGCATATTGGTTAAAGTCTAGTTTTTGTAAACGTACCACAGGAATTCTCGTGCTTTGGGATATTTTGAGCTTTAAAACCAAAGGGTTTTCTTCTTCGTCACTGCTAACAATAGAATAACTTAAAATACTATCATTGGGAGAATCTATATTTTCTATAATCATATTGATGTTGATATTTGGAGACGTTTTGAAATATCAGCAATAGTTTGTTTGTTTTTAAATAAAAACGTTATGAAAACAATAAATTAGCAAATAGGTCAAATTCAACTGAGGAGAATTAGGATTATGGAATTTATTTTATCCACAAAATTTCACCACAGCACCACACACCACACACAAAATGCCTTATTGACACAAAAATTGGCGGGAAATCGGTGTGCGGTGTGGAGTTTTCTTTTTTTGTCACTGGTGGCAGGACAGGAAGACACTGAGCCGTTTTCGGGTGCTGGAGCTGGAGCACTCCCGAGTAACTCCAAACTATCATTAGTTGTATTCCTTTCACACGTGGGAGGAGCGTCAGTGGTTGCACCACGCATCTGTTTCCTGCAAATCGGTGGCGACTAAACACCGGAGCGAGTAGCTCGAGTGTTTCAAGCTCTTGAAAGGAATACAACTATTGTTGCACAATGTATGAGTAGAACAAAAGAGAACTTACATGAATTTTATTTTTCCGAAATTGAACCAGGTGTTGTTATTAGTGGAATAAAAACATTAGTACCCCCACTCCATCCACGAGTTATAGTTGTATTCCTTTCAACGGCTTAAAACACTCGAGCTACTCGCTTCGGTGTTAGTCGCCCCCGATTTAAAAGGAACAGATGCATGGTGCAACAAACACTTTTCGAAAGAAATAAGCGCGTATCACCCCGGAGCTGTTCCGGAGCTCCTCCTAGGTGTGAAAGGGATACAACTTGATAATAAAGCCTGTTTCTGCAGAAATCAAAAACCATAGTGAATTTCATTGGTTGAACTGACTGTTTTCAACCTGACTGGTTTGTGATTTCTGCAGAAACAGACCTGCCGGATTCTATTCTACGAGTCGAGTCGGAATGTCTCGATAACCGCTTTCCAGTTGACGCTTTTGCGCGCGCAAATGCTTCAAGCGCGTGTTAGTGTTCCAGCCGTACTGCGCTTCGAGAGCTGCTAACTTTTGCGTTTCAAACACAGAACACTGTGCTGCACCGTGCTTGAAGCACACAGCTGGAAAGCGGCTGATATCGAATACGACAGCTCCGGACGTACCGTGTAATACATATCAATCGTAAAATAAAATCGCTATTTTGACAATTCGACACGAATTACGACTCGACTCCTAAGATAGAATCCGGGGGCTGATATCGATTATCGAACATGAAAAAGTTATTTATAATAGGCGATTTCGGCAAGCTTTGGTACATGGTTTGGTACGTTTAGAACATTGAAGAGCTCCGGGACAGCTCCGGGGCGTTACGCCCTTATTTCTTTCGAAAAGTATTTGTTGCGGTTGCCCCTGAGTGCTCAAGCCCTAATCATACCATTATCACGAAAGCCAGCGCATCTTCCTTTCAAATCGGGGTCGACTAACACCGGAGCGAGTAGCTCTAGGGTAATAAAATCTTGAAAGGAGAACAACTAACAACTTTAAACTATTCCTTTGTATGAAAAAGGCTGGGCTAGGACTCTGTAACGAATAGAGATATTTTATCTGTCTCTATTGACGTCTCTCCTCTTTATTGATTTCGACAAAAGAGAAGAAGACAGCAAGTGCCATAGCGATAGGGATTACGATCGCTATCCGTTACAGAGTTCCAGCCCTGGCAGCCTGCAACGTTTCGTTACAGTTCTGGTTCTAAGAGAAATATTTCGATTCGGTTCTGATCAATAATTTCGGTTTTAACGGTTCATACCGGTATAGTTTTTCACAAATATCTAGAGGCGGGCACAGACATGCGGTATTCGGCGAGTCTCGAATCACAAATATTTGCTATTCGGCAAGTAGCAATTAGAGTGTGTATAGGTTGTTCGGGTAATTATAGCGAATATTTGCCCGAGCAACCCAAACACACTAATCGCTACTTGCCGAATAGCAAATATTTGTGATTCGAGACTCGCCGAATACCGCATGTCTGTGCCCGCCTTAACCGAAAAATTTATGTTTCTGTAATTTATGGTTTATTTTCTATTGGATTTCTCTGCCTAGCTGCAACAACTTTAATAATGATAATAAAAATTATTAATATGTAATACATTTCTGTGTTCTCGATGAGTTAATTACAGTTTGTATTTTTCAACTTTATTTTTTATTTATTTTTTAAAATATTCAATATTATTATTATAAAGTACCAGTGATGACGTAGACAGCGTGTCGTTTTTCGCCGTGACTTATGGGCGTTTGCACCGACCATGTTAAGGGAGGTTTAACGATAATCAACGTTTATTGTGATATTTTTTCATGTGAAAATGTCACTCTAAACGTGGATTATTGTTAAACCTCCCTTAAAATTGTCGGTGCAAACGGCCATTAGGGCGTTTGCACCACAGCTTATGATTAGTTCTTTTCACGTGGCTTCGGTTTAACTAACCGGGTACAAAACGGTTAGAGAAATGACATACCGTTTTATAACGCAGTTACAAAGTGACGTGATGGATACCTACCACTCGAATTTGAGCGGTATGTTGCGGTTTGTTACGGTTTGTTAAACCGGAGCCACGGGAAAAGCTGAAAACGGTTATTGCGCTTATTTTTGCTCTATGAATATTTGGTTTCAGTACATTTATGTAACATTCTAGAAACAACCCTTGTTTATTTCTCGTTTGCATCTTCCTCTTTGCCCATTATGGTAATCAAAATTCAAAAATATTTTTCAACACAAATGTATATTCTTAACTACGACCGCTAGCGCAAACCGCTAATGATACCGTTGATGACGTCGCAACGGTGCAACACCATATGAACATGATTCCAAAAATCGAGGCCGATGAGGAATAGTGTTGGTGTAGCCTAGCCAAGCTCAGAAATGCGCGCTTTCCAAAAATCTTGAAACCAAAAAACACGGCTAATGTGGAAAAGGTGATTTTTGGTCTGTTCTCACCATCGAGGTTCTCACAGAAGAAATTAAGGCCCGTATTCATAGTCGATGCTCAAGGTTGCGTCTTGGCTCAAGTACGACTTGACGCCATATTTACGTTTCCAAACAGCACGGAACGATGCTCACAACTGTCAAAAATCGGAAATTGAGCCAAGCACCCGTCTATGAATACCGGGCTAAGGGCGGGTATTATAAAACTACTTTGAGAGTTAACTTAAAGTTAACATGTAAATCAAAAAGTTAACTTCGAGTTAACTGTCAAAGCAGTTTTATAATACCCGCCCTAAGAGTCCTCGAGTATCCCAGAATTTGATGATGGGGGAGTTAGCGGAGTATGACACAATTGACACATCACATAATCCAGCATAATCGATTATTCTTGATTATCCTCGCGAAAAATAGGCCCCTCGCATCAAATTTTTTTATTGCTGATTTCGATAGTCCATGAAAAATAAGTCAACACGTGTTTTTTCTTTTTCTTGTTAGTCAAAAATTGACGGAGATACAACGCTTTGAAATTTCCTTCCGACGTCATAACTTAGGTATAATACGATGTGAGTTGTGACATCGCACATGCTCAGTATATCTATATATAAAAAACTTAATATTTGTATAGCTTCCGGAATAATCATATTTGGGCTGAATAAAAAAAATTAACGATTTTTTTTCGATTTCCTACAGTTTGCAATAAACAATAATCAATTGAATTTTCCATGCAAGTACCCTATTGCCGAACATTTCTATGAAATATGGGTTTCGTTCCAGTTCCAATCCGCAAAAAAAACTGTTTCTTCCGGTTTTCGGTTCAATGTCGTTCCGGTCCGGGGGTGTGATTTTCGAAACCATTCGAGTACATTTCGTACACGAAATTTGACTGACAGCAATGTAAATTAATTCGTGTACGAAATGCACTCGAATGGTTTCGAAAATCGCACCCCAGGTCCCTGTTTTCAACCAAGGAAATTCGCTCTGACTGGTTTGCGATTTTTGTTCGAACAGAAAGAGATTGCATTTTATAAAACACTTACCATGGCTGATATCACGACCAGTAAAATTCTACTTTCATGACGTCACCCCCATTCATCGCGTACAGTACAAGCGATAATGACGGCTGCTAGACAACCTGACGTCATGAAAGTAGAATTCTAGTACAAATGTCGTGATCCAGCATCCGCTTTCGGGTGCCACCCTTTCCCTTTGTGCATTTCCGAGCAGTGTCGTAACTACAGGGGGCCTGGGGGGGCGGGCCCCCCCAGACCTCGCTAGGCCCCCCCAGAAAAAACTTTAATATTTGGTATTTTATGAAAGCTACGTTACTTTTACCCTTTACCTATTATAATTTTATGTTATTACCTTCTAAATTTGAACGGTAATGCGCGACGATCGATCATACAGTGGTAGGCGCGTTCGTTTATTCCCTCGAAGTGCGGAGCGTGTGGAGCTTGAGCTACCTTGGACAGAGGTCAGCTGATCATCGAGCAAACCGAGCTTGAAAATCTTGAAATAAAAAACGAACGGGTTTGTGCATCTCGAACCATACAACAGCTGCGCTCTGTGCGCACCATACGCTCGAAATTGTGAATGACGTTCGTTTATTCTCTTTCGATTGTGTCGAGAAAAACTTTTCGCGTTCGTAAATACGTCGAGAGAGTGTATCGAGCTCGCTCGATTCGCTCCGAAATTTTTGATGGTGTGGAGTGTGCAGCGGGCGCCAATTTAAAAAAAATCTAAACCTACTTAAGCTAGTAAAAGTAAAATTGATTTCCTTCGTGCGTGCGGAAAACGCGTTTTCACGCACCGATTTGCGTGAAAGTACCACTTTTCCGCACAGCGTGCATGAGAATAAATTTACCGCACGCAAACTTTTTCACGCACGCTGTGAGCAAAAAAAGTTTCTCACACACTGTTTTTTTTTCTCAATTTTTCTCTCCGTCATGTTTCAATTTCTCAAAAATTCTAGATTTTTTCGAAAATCCTCCATCTTTTTTTCGGCAACATGTGTATGGCCGACCAAATGTTAATTTTTCAATATTCGCCTTACTCAATCGTTTGGTGGTCGTTTGGTGGTCTTTGGTATCCCACTTTTAGTATTTGGTGGTAATTACTTAGGCATTAATTAACAATTCAAAATTTCATATGACGTTGGCCGACATAACCTGATTCTAATTTATTTTTTGGCCCATTTATAGTCAAATCGAACGGAAATCGTTTGGTGGTCACGAATTTACCGAATTTAACGTTTGGTAGTCAATATTGTGGTGACCACTGACCACGACAACGACAATCCAGTAATTAACCTTGCGTTCGGTATTTTGCTCAAAGAGCAGAGCGTGCTGAGCGGAGCCGTAATCACGTGACCAGTGAGCGAACAGAGCAGTTGAGCGCTGTATAAAAGTGCCAGAAATTTTAATAAACGAACGCGAATGAGGATGCACCGAGTACACTTTTTAAATAAACGAACGGTAAAGTAAAGCTCGGAGAACTCGGACCAAAATAACGAACGCAGGGCTAGTATCCAGTACAAGCAGAGTCCGCGACTCGCGAGTTGACACGCCACCGGCCCACCGCCAGTTCCGGATCGCAACGGCAACGCCGCGATCGAGGCGGCTCAATGAAAAACAGATAATATATGCGCATGCCCGACGATTAATTAAAATATATCAGAAAACAATCTTAATTGATTAATTACTCCGGTATTATTGACTAACAAACGCTAAATTCGGTAAATTCGTGACCACCAAACGATTTCCGTTCGATTTGACTATAAATGGGCCAAAAAATAAATTAGAATCAGGTTATGTCGGCCAACGTCATATGAAATTTTGAATTGTTAATTAATGCCTAAGTAATTACCACTAGAGGTGGGTTGCGATTCCAGGAACTGTGACTTTGTCACTGCTACTCGTCTGTCACAGTCACGGCCTGCTCCAGTCCCAGCCAAGTAGCAGTGAGATTTTGTCACTGCCCGCTTCAAGCTCCGACCGATGCAGCGCAGACAAAACTCGAGCTAAGTGATGCAAATGCAATATTATAATATTATAAATCGCATCGCGGTCCCGCCAAATATTAACTGCTACTGAAGAGGGCAGGCTGGAAACTGGAACATCTCCCTCAGCCGTGACTGCGGGCTGCGATTATGTCATTTTGAGATGTAGCATTAACATATTATTAGCAGTTCGGCCGTCAACTAAGGTAAAACTGCTCCAAAAAATCACTGCTATTTGTCACAGTGACACGACTGGAGCAGTCACGTCTTGACACAGCTGCATTAAAATCGCAGGTTGGCCCACCTCTAATTACCACCAAATATTAAAAGTGGGATACCAAAGACCACCAAACGACCACCAAACGATTGAGTATGGCGAATATTGAAAAATTAACATTTGGTCGGCCAAATACATGTTGCCCTTTTTTTCCCTTAAGAAAGCTATATTAACTTTTTATACTGACCAATAATATCGACATCTTTAACGAGTTTTATACCATAAATAATTAATTCTACTCATAGGTAATAAAAATAATTGTTAATATTCTGTTATTATAAACTTATTGCTTAAACTTAATTAAAAATCACATTTTTGACCATTTCCTTTATCAGTAGAGCAAAAAACAAACAATTTCCGCACGCTCGTAGGAAAAATGTTGTACCTATCATGAGCGTAATAGTTATTTACCTAACAAATGCGGAAAGTGATACTTTACCGCACGCAACGGCAGTTGACCGAACGACGCGAAGCGGAGTTCGGTCAAGCCGTTAAGGGCGGTGAAGGCACTTTCCGCATGTGTTAGGTACAAAATTTTACCTATGAGCATCTACACCTCCAAAAAAAGCATTGATAAAATAAATTAATGAATCAGATTAATTAATGGAATAAGATTAAATTTAGAAAGGACCAAAAATCCATTTTCTGAAAAAGAAAGGAATTTTGATTATAAATATCAAATTCTACTTTACCGCACACTATGCGGTAAAGTGGACTACAAAGTGTTCGGTAAAGTGCACTTTACCGCATACTATGCTGTAAAGTTAACTTTACCGCACACTATGCTGTAAAGTTAGTTTTGCCGCATAGTGTGCGGTAAAGTGATACTTTCCATTCTCAAAAACGTGCGGTAAAGTGCACTTTACCGCACGCTCGTAGGTAAAGTATTTGCCGCACTTACGGACGGTTTGCACGAACTCCGCTGGTGCGTCCCGTTGCGTGTGGAAAAGTATAACTACCCACTTATCCATACACTTGTTAGGTGAATATAACTATTTTGTTTTTGTTAGTTTAACGTTGTTTAGTTTTTGTGAGTGTATGACGCAACCGAATTTTCGTGACGAATGTAGTTCATTAGTTTTAACTTTGGATTACAAGATCCACCAGAGATCTGGGTTTTGTGGCAGGATTTAACTTGTTAGATCATAAAAAATTCCAAGGGTGATGGCAATATTACTGAACTATTACTTAATGATAATTGTTTTGTAGCAGGATTAACTTGTTAGATCAAAAAAAAAATCCAAGGGTAATGGCAATATTACTGAACCATTACTTAAATTGCCTAACATGTACATTCTTGAGAAGTCTAGCCTTGAATTTTGTGAAATAAGTAACCTTGCCCCAATCTGTAAAATCAGATCTTCTCCTATGTAACGGTTCTGAAAACTTTTGGTTCAATTTTTATGACATGAAAAACGCTGCAAATGATCGGTGTTGTTCGTTTTTTTGTTTTCAATGTAATGAACTGAACTAATGAATTTGCCACAAAGCAGCGCTTGTGCTGGGAGGATATTCTCAAGCCTACTTAAATAATATAAAAACCAAAAATAGAAATAGGATAATTCTTATACCCTCAACAACAAATTCTTAATAATTGTTAGGTAAAGAGGTACCAACGTCACCAAAAGTAACGACAGCATCATATTAGCTCTCGTACTATTATATGATTTTTAGGGTCAAATATTCGTCAAACTATGCTGTTTTCAGACCCCACTTTTTCTGTTTTTTTTTCTTGTGGGCCCCACAATTCATTTCTTTAATCTTCAGCAAAAAAAAACAGAAAAATAATTTGTTTTTTTTGGCAGATTTATTTACAAATAAATGATGTTAGAGGTTATGAAATACGGAGCGAAATGAGCGAGCTCGATACGCTCTCTCGACGTATTTACGAACGCGAAAATTTTGCTCGAAACGCTCGAAATAGAATAAACAAACGGAATTTAGCAATTTCGAGCGCACGGTGCGCACAGATCGAATAAACGAACGCGCCTAGTATAGTTGTATTCCTCTCAAGAGCTTGAAACACTCGAGCTACTCGCTTCGGTGCTTAGTCGCCCCCGATTTGCAGGGAACAGATGCGTGGTGCAACAAGCACTTTTCGAAAGGAATAAGCGCGTGAAGCCCCGGAGCTCCTCCTAGGTGTGAAAGGAATACAACTATTATTGTCCATAATGCACTGTTCTACTTTCTTAAAGATTCCAATAAGTCACAATAACAGGCCCTCAGGCCACTGGCGCCAACTACATGGGGGCATTGGAACAGGTGCTCCCATAGGCAAACTCTTATGTGTGCTTGCTTGGAGCTCTCGTGGGGAATGCGGAAGTACAAATTTATTTGATGGTCCTTCCGTTCCGTGTGGTAGTATCAGTATGATGTAATTTAAATCCACACAACGTTGTATATAAATTATACAAGTGGTATTAGGGCTGGAATTAATAAACTACTTTGGCAGTTAACTTGAAGTTAACTTCTGGAATTACATGAGAAGTAACGTCCAATGAACTATAACCAAAAACTGGAATGCGAACACATATTGACGAACGTGAAGCCTAGTGCCGCTGCTGCGGAGGGGATACCTGTTTTTGTCGCACTCATTATGTTAAATGGCGGAAATTGCTTCCAACACGTATTCCAATTGATGAAAGCTGTGAAGGTAAATATCATAACAAGTTGTCAGCTGTTTAAACAGCCTACTACAAGGCGAGAAATAACATGCTGCCTACGTCACAACTGGTATTTTGGTGTGGCGTAGGGGAAGGGGAGATTGCTTACACACAGGCCTTATGAGGATAGGCCATCCTCCTCCTATAGCAGTGTGTATCATCCTTGGTCGACTAACACCGCAGCGAGTAGCTCTGGTGTTCTAAACTCTTGGAAGGAATACGGCAAAGCGCACATTGGAAACTCATGCGACGCAACCCACGCAGGGCAGAACAAACGACACAGTGCACAAAATTCGTGGGCTTTGCCGGCTAACGCAAATTGAATCACTTCTCCCTGCAATTTTCCTATTTGAAAAAAATTTGACAAGTACGCACGCACACGAATCTGTGTCTCAAACACTGAGCGATGCATGTTTTGTTTGACGCATTGGTGGCTTTCCCTGTGCTGCGTCTCAACATGCGGACGTGCAATGCTCGCTACATGTACATGATACAAAAACGTGGCGTGTGCTGCCTTGCCTGGGTTGCGTCGCATGTGTCTCAATGTGCGCCTTGCCTAAACTGAAACTAGTGTTGCGTCACACTCCGGGTGAATGCGGTTCCCAAGTGTGCAAAACGCATGGAGTATAACGAGTGAGAAGTGTTCTAGGAGCTTCGCACTCTGCATTCGAAAGCGGCTCTGTGTAACTATTTTTGCACCGAGTGCAGTTTGATTGGCGCGAACTCAAATTTCCTTGTGCAGATCAGTTTTTGCAAATTCGATAGGGAGTGAACTCTGCGCCTACCGGTAGGTGCCGTTTGTTTCATCAATTGTGTGCCTACCGTTTATGTATACTTAATGCTAAAACATTATGGTAGGTCCCCAATTGCCACATGATATAACGCCTATCGGTAGGTAATCTTTGTAAAAAGAATCCTGAGCCTACCGGTAGGTTCATACTAATTCAAGAATCCGTCGCCTACCCTAGCTAGTTTCTATTTACCTATCTAAACTAACTATACTTGCATTTACAAGAAGGTGATACTATATCCCCGAAAAAGGTTTTCCACTTTTTTGGTGGATTTATGCTTCCGAGGAAGTTTGGCGAGCGGAGCGAGCAATCAGAGACTCGAAAATGATTAAAATTTCAAGGTGATATATTTAATAAAGGTTTTTCACGTTTTTGGTGGATTTACGTTTCGGGAATATTCTCTTTGAGATTCGGCTAGCAGAGCGAGCAATGAGAGACTCAAAAATATTTTGAACAAGAAGGTGATATATTTGAAAAAGGTTTTTCACGTTTTTGGTGGATTTGCGCTCCCAAGCATCCTCTCTTTGAGGTTTGGCGAGAGTAGTGAGCCATCGAAGACTCGAAAACAAACAAATTCAAGGTGTGTGCAGAAGGATTTTTATTAGGTTGTCGTCTAGCGAATGAAGCAGATTCCAGACATCAACAAGTTTAAAGCCCAAATTGGAAAAATGTTAAGGTACCTACTAATAAAGGCTTATGTGGACGAATTTCTTAATGACTATACTACTACTAACAAACAAAATTTTATTAAAGCATTTAGCATTAGCAAGAGCTGACTGGTAGGATATACGGATTCTAAAAGCATAGAAGTAATAAAACACCTCCCAGTAGGCGCTTGATCAATTGACGAAAAAGGACCAACCCTCTACCAGTAGGCGCATAATCGGTGGATGAAAAAGGACCTACTGGTAGGCGTACGATCGTTGGATAACAAAGAACCTACCGGTAGGCGTAGGATTCACTCCCAATTCGATATGACAAATTCGTACCGATATGCACCTATTACGAAGGGCGTATCGTAATCGTATTGACACAAATCGACAAGCCCTCCTCTCTAGAATAAGAATACCTAACCTAGGTTTATTGTTTATTTTATTTGTTGTGTGTTGTGTTTTTGAAATTTCACAATTTTCAATTTTCTCTTGCTTGGAATTCTGCTGAGTAAAAAAGTATCTTCTTGTTGAAATTTAAATTACCAATAAACCATGAGGGTAAGTACTTCAGTTAAACTAATACACAATGTAAATGTTTATTTTTAAATTTATTTTCAATTGATGGTATTGCAGGAAACGCAAGACTCTAAGGATTTTTCTATTCTGTCTTGGTACGAAAAATTTGAGCCCATTGCAATGAAAACAATAATTCTGGAACTGTCTGACGATATCTTGAAATGTTTCCAATATCAGAATGTTTCAGAAGAGTCTGATAATGAAGACACTGAGAGAATTGAAACGCCTTTACCACAAGCATTTCAGGATAGCTTGAAAAGTGCATTTAATACTTTAGGAAAACCAGTGTTTATCAAAAATAATTGGCACGCTCCAATAGTAAATATCAAAGTACTAATAATTGGTTGAATAAACATTGGAAACTTTCAGGACGCCAAAATGTTTAGTGTTGGAAATACACTGAAAGCAGACACCATTGATGATATTAAACTATTTCTTACAACTTCAGGTATAATCCAAGAAGATTTCTTGACAATTAAAGGCATCCCATTTTGTTTGGCTTTGAGAAAATGGATAAGCATTCATCCCGCTGCAGAATTTAGATGCATTGTGGTAAATAATGTGCTTCGAGGTCAGTTCAATTGTATTTTATGTATATTTCTTTAAATAATCTTATCTAGGTATAACTCCAAGAGATTGGCCAACATTTTATGCCCATTACAAAGAAGATGGTCCTCAAATAATTGATACATTGTCAAATTTTTTTGTTGAAAATGTAAAGTTACGATTTCCTAGGGAAAATTGTAAGAATTTTATCATCTAATTCCTCTTGTTTCAATTAATATTTTGCAATTGTTTTTAAGATACTATTGATGTTGTGTTATCATATCCAGATAGACCGTTTATTATGGATTTTGGACCATTGAATAACAAAACCAATTTGTATGCGTTCTCATGGAAAGAAATCGGACCATTATTTTATAAGGTAAGATATTTTGATAAGTAATTAGATCAATTTTTATTCCTTAACATGTTGTTAATATCATGCGGTTATTGTCTTTAATGATCTGCTGAAGACAAATGGTTATTTTAGGATACACCAGAAGAAATCACTCCTGTCTTTAGATATTTAGAATCGGATATTGGTATTATGACTCGAGCAAGTGCATTATTGAAAATACAACATTAAATAATAAGTATACTTTTTTATCAAATAAAATATGTTTTTTTATTATATAAATGATGTATTTTACTTTTATTGTTTGATCACTTCATGAACAAACATTTTTGCAAGAGTCTAAAATCTAGGAGATTCAGATAAGTCTAATACAATATGGCTTTCACAAACAAACAAAAATAATCAATAAAAGTGACAAAGGATAAATTTTGTGATAAGAACTCTGGTACAATAAGGAGGAAGTATTAAAAAAAATGTCTCCATTGCTGTTCCATAAAAAATTATCGTCATAGGCCAACTATTTTCAAGACCTTATGTATATTGTTATAAAATCTCTAGTATCCTTAATTTCCTCATAGTTAACTAAATGCCATTTCGATTGGCCAAAATTTGGGAAAAAAGGCCGAGGATCGGTGTGCCTACCAGAACCATCGTGAGGTCCAATAATGATTACCATGTTACCCCTAAAAGAGTAATACTACTTTATATACATCTCATAAAAGTTTAAATTCTCTTACCTATAATTATCTACATACTCCCTAAAAGCTTCCCCATTATTAAAGTAACAAAATAGCAACGCAAAATTTGGATTGGTTTCTACTACTATTTCTTCTTCTACATATTTAAGAGGAATAAAAGCTGGTACCGAGTATTTACTCTCCCACCATTCTTTGTTAATTTCAAAACCAACTATCGGCAGACCTTTGAAAAAAATCAGTTTTTCAATCAGTTCCGATTCCTTCAAATTTATTACCTGTATACGCTTGAATAATCCATTCTAAAAGTCCGCATCCGCATCCCAATGAAGTTACACCTTGTATATTACGTTCCGCTAAAGCACTTTCCAAAAATTTCAAATTCTCCTCACTAGGCCACACCCATAATAACTTAAGTGCGTTTTTATCATTAGATTTTTCATTGATTCTTAAAATTTCTTTCCAATTATTGTTACTGTGAAAATGTAAGACTTTTTCAAGTACAATGTTTTCGTCCATATTTTTGTAACAAAGTCTCTGTGGACTATTTTTTGAAGCACTTTACAATGAAATTTTTTTTGTAGTGTAACCAATGCATTGGCCAAAAAAAAATATATCTACAGGTTACTAATGTGTTTTGTATAAGGTGAGCCTAATGAAAACTTTTAAAAAATGTATTTCTTATATAGTATAAATGAAGGGTTACATTTGGTAACCAACCTCGATTAATTTTAAATGGATTGGTGCAGTTGAGCTTCATGTTCTTTAATCAAGAGTTAAAAAAATGTGAATGAGAAAATTCTGTCCTAGGACTCTCTAGTTTTATTTAAATTGTATTACCCTTTTCGATTTTAAATTTAAACATTTCTGGCTTTTTATTATTTCCCAATAGGATCAAATTATTTTGGTTGCATACAATTTCTCTTAAGCAGCAGCAGTGATTTCAAAAAAAAATTTGAGACTGAGGTCGATATAAATAAAACATTTATTATGCTAGACCAACTCTATAATATTAGATTTTAAAAATGATAACTTAGGTTTAACCCATCGCCCATTAGTTTTTTTTGCTCACTTTGTATTTCTATAATCATTCAATCTATAATGCTATAGTCAAAATGTATAGTCTATTTTTAGGCAGAGCAAAAACGTGTCTGACTGAGAGGACTTGCCAAACTAAATAAATCTCGATAATTATTGTTATGTAATGTTTCAATTTTAAAAATAGCAAGTGTATTTTTTAGTTGATAAATAATTCTGTAAATTAACTTTAAATTAAAAGTTGAATTTTCTATATACCGGGTGTCTACGAGATCAGTTTCGCGCTGGCATTTGGTGAGTTTTTTTTCGATGGCAAAGATTTTTGGTATGGAGTGTAGGTTTGAGTAATGTCATCTTTTGACATGTGTGTCAATGTTTGGTAACTTCCGGTTTGACCGGAAATGGTCCTAACTCCGTAATTTGGAATGGCATCCCAATAATTTTTCCACATTTTTGGTATCTGCGGATCATGATGTGTACGAATACGTCAAATTTGAACATTTTTGAAGAAATTTCAGAACTCTGGATGAAAATTTATTTTTGAACAGGAAGTGACGGAGCGGTCTTAAAATTGTTATTTTCAACCAACACAATCGTGGAAAAATGCGAATACCAAGTTATTATCCTATGCTTGTTCTCCAAAGGCTTCCAAAGCTGAAAAAATCACATTTTTCGTGATAACTCAATGAAATCAGTGAAATCACCTGACTTTCATAACAAATGTTTTTTACCTTTTTCAAAATAAAACCAACTATGCATTAAAACTTTCTATTCATACCAGTTTTTAATTATTTTTCCAATATTTTTACTATGCATTACTATAACTGATAAAACTACTTATAAATAAACCCCTGTATTCAAACTTTGTATTTACAAATTCCCGAGATGTCAAACAATGACAAATAAACATATCTTGCCTCTTGCCCACAGATCTTGTCAATGGCTTGTCAAGAAAAAAAAAACACCAGCTCCTTTTGAAAAGCGTTCTTTATACAGGGGTTCATTTATAAGTAGTTTTAACATTTATAGTAGGTAGTGCATTATAAAAATAATAAGAAAATAATTAAAAACTAACATAAATGAAAAGTTTCAATGCATAGTTGGTTTTATTTTGAAAAAGGTAAACAACTCTTGTTGTGAAAGTTGGGTGATTTCACTGATTTTATTGAGTTATCACGCAAAATGTGATTTTTTCAACTTTGGATGCCTTTGGAGAGCAAGCAAAGGATAACATCTTGGCACTCGCATTTTTCTACGATTGTGTGGGTTGAAAATAACAAATTTAGGACCGGTCCGTCACTTTCTGTTCAAAAATAAATTTTCATCCAGAGTTCTAAAATTTCTTCAAAAATGTTCAAATTTGACGTTTTCGTACACATCATGATCCGTAGATACCAAAAATGCGAAAAAATTATTGGGGTGCTATTCAAAATTATGGAGTTAGGACCATTTCCGGTCAAACCGGAAGTTACCAAACATTGACACACATGTCAAAAGATGACATTTCTCAAACCTACACTCCATACCAAAAATCTTTGCCATCGAGAAAAAAACCAGCAAATGCCAGTGCGAAACTGATCTCGTAGACACCGGGTATGTATAGTATTTGTATCTTGATTTGTATGATGTGAATTGTACTTAAAACTATATGTTGTTGTATAAAACAGATAAAAATAATACAAAATAAGAATTTAATTATTATAATTAGTTTTAAATTTTCTCATAGGCAGTCTCACAAAGCTCTTTGATCACTTCCTCCAAACAAGCAATTTTCACATCTTTTCTCCTAATTATTTGGCGTAACTGTTTAATTTGTTTCCTTAATTTTTCTACAGTACCATTTCCATTTTCTTTAGTTTGAACTGCAACCTCTGCAAACGTCTTGAGAGCATTTATAGACAATTTGTTGGTAGATGTCGAAGGTATTTCGAATATCCAATTTTCATCCATTTGTTCTTCAGTACCACTATCAGTCTGCATTAAAAATAAGTTTGTTCTTACTATAAAGACTTTAAATTAAGGTGAAGTTAAACAATTACCTGCGTTTTGGGAGAACTTTCTGGACCTTTATTATCACAATTGCACTAAAAAAAATGGGTAATTATATTGTTCGTCGATTTTAATCTGATACTCGGACAGAATGTGAGCTGGTGGCTCCCTACATTAGAATGCCAATGGTTACCTGACGTCGCACCTGTTTTTGCCATATGAAACACCCCCTCGCTTCTCATACCGCAAGTATCAGTTAAAAATCGACGAACAATACTGAATAAAATTTTCATTAACTTACTTCTTGTATGACTTCCATTTCCATACCATTTGAAATTTCATTGTCGTGCTCTATTTCTATCTAAAACAAGACTTTTATTTTTAATTTTTTTCAAGAAGATTAGGTATTACTTACATCATCATGTCTGCCTAATTGGTTAGCAACCGCTTCATTTATTTGGTTAATTGAAATAATATCTTGTCCTCGTTCTTCTTCAGGTTTTTCATTATCATCAATATTTTCTATTGATTCTTCAGAATGTCCACTGTCACGTGCCTGAATAAGCATGCTGTCTTAAAGGCAAAATTCACAACCACAGCTTTAAAACTTACATGTTTTTTACATTTCCTAGCTTGACTTGCAGATACATCAAAAACGCTGGGTACAGCATCCAAGTTCAAAAGTATTCTTTTAGTATTGGGAAGACAGAAAAAATCTGTTTTTAAAAAATGGGCACCACATATCCTACTCGATTTTGTCGGTCGCCAGTTTTCTCTTTTAATGGCTTTGACCCACAATTCTAATATTTCAGGACGTTTAAAAGGAAACCTACAAAATGTATAGGGCGATATTACTATACTAGCTATACAGGGTGTTCATTTTAAAACTTACCACCCCGATTCTCATTTAAGATTTTTTAGGGTGGCTCTGAGGGCTGGGGGATTGAAAGGAGGGAGCTGAATTTTGCAAAAAAAAACTCATTATCCTCCAAATTATAGTTGATCTGTTTCAGGGATTTTTTTAAAAATTTTTCAACTGCGAGATAATAGGGGTGGTAAGTTTTAAAATGAACACCCTGTGTATTGTTTCAGGTCTGTTTCTGCAGAAGTCACAAACCAGTTAGAGCGAATTTTATTGGTTGAAAACAGTCAGAAAACTAGTTTCAACCAATGAAATTCACTCTGACCCGTTTGATTTCTGCAGAAACAGACCTATGATAAACTTAAATCAAAATTGCATTGCAAATAGACTTATTTGTTAATTTAACAACTTACGAGTGAAATGTGAGGGGTTCCTTAGCCCTGTGAAGGTTCTTACATCCATATGCGACACAACTTGCTACCATATTTGTTGAAATAAACACTAAAGACCAAGAAAATATATACGTATCATATAAACCATTAAGGGCACCTTGAAAAACTATTTGTTTAAGTTCAATTCTGATATGATCTGAATTCGAATCAACTTTTCATCAAGAATCAAATTTTAAAACAAATCTCAAATGCAAATGTAAATAAACAAAATTTACTTGTCTGTCACTGTCAACGTCAAGTGTCTGTTTAGTTCTAGGAATGCCGCGATATTATCGATATTTTTAAGTATCGATATTTTCTTAGGCGATACCATACCCGATATTTTGTATCGATCCTTCGGTGTAAGGCGTTTGTTATTTCAGTGTAGGGTGCCCAATCTTGCACTTCCTACACTACACCTGCTCAAGAGGAGGTGTAACAAGTGCAGAATGGGGAATTTAAAAACTACTTCAAAGAAGCTGTCTTCAGAGTTGGATGATAGGGAATCTGCATCTTCCTCCATAATTTCCGACAATAAAACTTTGTGAATTTTGTTCTTTTCATAAATATTACAAATTTTTTTCTCGGTTAGTTTTCACTTTAATCTACTTGGATAATAATTTTGTGAGGTTAGAGAATTATCTGCTCCTATCGCTGCACGAACTGCACTAACGCATTTGGTAGTTTTCCTTTAACCTGGTGCCCATCAGCTACACCTAGCTGCACCAGCAGTCTGTATTGACCTATCCTACACGTAAATAACAAACAGACCTAACCTTTTCAGTTTTTCTCAAAGTGTAGATGTGGATAAAATTTTTCGTGCACTCAGGTTGGTAGTCAAAACAAGTAATGAAATCCCCTAGAAATGCTATTTTTGTATGTTTGAAATTGACGTTTATATTTTGACGCGTCGCTGACTCAGGGATGTTAGACACTACTACTATAGGAGGGCCTATCCTCATAAGGCCTGTGTGGAATCATCAGTTGTGACGTAAGCAGCATGTTATTTTTCGCCTTGACGTAGGCTTTTTAAACAGCTGACGACTTCTTTATGACGTCGGAAATGGTGACACACCAATATGGCGGCGATTACCAAAAACGAGGTCGATGAGTACTCCTTAGAGTGTGTATTCTCCTAGCATGCTGCCTACGTCTCAACTGGTGATTTAGCGGTTATTGGTTGGGGGGGGGGGGGGCGTGGGGAGGGGATTTGTTCCACACAGGCCTTATGAGGATACGCTATCCTAGCTTACTTTTCATGCATCCGTTTTTCCGTCAATCCGTTGATCTGGAAGTATTCCTATTGGTCCAATAATTTGGCGCCAAAATTTTGGACCAATAGGAATACTCCCGGATCAACGGAAAAACGGATGCATGAAAAGTAAGTAGTAGTAGTGTGTTTCATCCCTTGCATTGAGGTAGGCTTGTTTTTTGGCTGGGTTCGATAATTGCATCTGCGAGCAGAGAGAGCAAACTTTGACGGACGCCACGTGTTCACTTGCACTTCGCACTTTCTGCTTTGGGGTGTTCGTTTATGTCATGGCAATGAACTGACAAGCGTTCGTTTGTGAAGTACAGTTTGTTTTAAATTGTTTAGTTCATGTTCAACCAGCACTTGCTCTCGCGCAGGAGTAAGATAGGGCAGCCTAGAATTAAATGTCGAAAACGCCACTTCTGACGGCTCCCTGTTCTCTGGTTGCCTGCAGCATCACAGTCCTCTCCACTATCTTCATCACTTGATAAAACAGTTCTATCCGAAAAAAGCCGCACCTCTGTTCTCTTCCAAGCAGATCGCAGGTTGCGTCCGAGAACTGGACTCCAATTCACGAAACATGGGAGCCTCTTTTTATGAGTTTTTCAGCGCGTTGCTCCCCTTTCTCCCAACGATAATATACACTACTAAACAGAATTGCTCATCGGCCTCGTTTTTGGGAATCGCGGTCATATGGTGTAGCACCATTGTTGACGTCATCAACTAAGTCGTCAGCTGTTTGCGCCAGCGGTCGTAGTTTAGATGGAACCTTGGTTTAGAATATAAATTTTTGATGAAAAAATATTATTTAATTTTGAATAACATAATAGTCAAAGAGGAACATGCAAACGAAATATAAAAAAGAGTTGTTTTAGAATGTTAATTAATGTACTAATACCAGTAATACCAAGTATGCATAAAGCAAAAGCCAACGAAATCATCGCCTGTGGTGTAAATACCCTACCACAAGGGAGAAACGACACGCTGCTACGCTACGTCATCACTGGTACTTTGGCGTGGTGCAAGAACACAACCTAATAGGACTGCTTATTGAGCTGAAAGTGTCTGCCATTTCGGCCGCAGACCTCAACTCTTGGCGTAGAATACATTATCCGAGTTTAAAATAGTATTGGTCAAAAAAACGAATTTTTAAACGTTGTAGTCTTGTTATAATCATCTTTTCAACGTTTATATTTGACGAAGAAACGAACACAACCTGAAACGCAGGCATGCCTTCGAGGTCTGCGGGTGACGTCCCCACTATAAGCTGCTATGCTGCTAATAGAGGTGACGTCACTCGCAGGCTTTGCCGACTCGACAAATACGATTTAAGTCAAGAGCCATTTTCTCGCGTCCACTTTTTTGACACTGGTTCAAAACAGGTTTGAAACAGGCATTGACCGTTCCAAACCGGTTTTGAACCAATGTCAAAAAAGTGGAAGCGAGAAAGCGGCTTTGATGCGTATCAGGACAGGGTGATGGTTTACGTCTCCCCCTTCCCCTAGCGGTGACGTCACAGATCTCTGCGAGAGTGCTTTGGGAGCGATTATAATCCATACGGGGGCACACCAGTTGAAATCAATAGCAAATTCATTAGTCGAACGTACTCTATTTTTTGATCAAACTCTGTAATCCATCAAATTTGACGGAGCAAGAACGAGTTTTGAGACCGTTCTATTTCTCTAAAGTCGAACACGTGAATCTCGCCGAGAGCAACACTCCGTTTTAAGCCGAACATGTGAACTGTTTCGGATCGCTTTTTGATCAACCGGGTGCAGTTTTCATGCAAAATTCGAGAGCGCTATTTGATAGATCAAAAAAATCGTATCGATAAACCTGCGATAAACCGTTCTTTAATGGCGTTTTCCATTTGTTTGGAGGTGCAGTGAGTGCAATTTTTATATTCCATTTGACTGCACATTATAGGTGAGTTCGGCTTGGCAACTCTTTTGACAGTTTTCACAGTAAAATCGTTCGGTTCAGGCCACTGGGAGCAAATAGTGCAAACTCCTCATCCTTCGGTTACAGCCAAGTAGAGTGAAAAGAGTTAACTCCACAAGCACCACCTCGCGAGATGAAGCTCGAGGAGCGGGCACCTATATTCCCAAAAGGCGGTAAAATTTAAGTTTAATAATTCGCTATCCATTTGGAATTCAGTGCAATTATGTATGTATGCACTCTGTGCTAATTTTTTGGCACGAGCCAAGAAGGCTCGTGTAGAGCCAGTGCAGTTTGTTTAGTTTTTATTTACACGTATCGTACATATCTGTAATATTTCCAGAGAAAAAGTTTTTGAACTTTTGGATTTATTATGTAGCAGCAGCGAAGATGAATCCAATGGCGAAATTCTATTATTTGAACAAATTCCGCAGCTTATCTACGTTGTTTTGAGGTATATTATTATTATTGTTTAGAAGTACCTTTTCTAAATTATTTATGGTAGTCCAATTTCTTTTGAATTTAATGGCGGGTGAAACCGCGGGGAACAGCTAGTTTTAAATAAATGAATTGAATTATCGATCTGAATTTGTAAAATGATTCTTCATTAATTCCAAACTTCATTTCAAGTATATCCATTTTTTTAAAAGGTTTTAAATACTACAGAACGATAGCCCAGACTAACCTCGAGACTTGACTTAAGAATCGTAAAATAACAGGATTGCTCATCCTCATAAATAAGGCATACGTTCGCCAATTCTCGAGTCGGCAGGGCCTGCGAGTGACGTCACCACTATTAGCAGCATATGGCGAGTTTGGAAATAACATCGCAGATGTGACCTAATGAAGATGCGACAGATTTTTTCACACGTGACTTCAGATTCGTGCTCTCATGACAACTCACGTGACAACTGTCAAAATTTTCTTCTTTTAGCTCTTGGAACTATTTCTCGAACTCAGCTATAGCAGCTTAGAGTGGTGACGTCACCCGCAGGCCTTAATGGGATACTTGCGATTCAGGCTGTGCTTATGTTTTTTCGTCGATTTTAAATGTAGAAAAGGCGATTTTTAACAAGACTATAACGTTTAAACGATTTTTCATGTAGAAAAGGCTTGTGTTGCCAACATAGTTACTAAATTTTTGACTTGGGGAATTATCTTTAAAAAAAAAACAGATTTTACTACACATTGAGCTACTACAGGATAGCCTATCCTCATAAGGCCTGTGTAGTTGAAATCTCAAACATGCCGACGCATCAGTGATGACGTAGACAGCGTGTCGTTTCTCGCCTTGACGGTGGACGTAGGATATAGAGAGTTCTCGTGCTGTCCAAATTTCAAATACCGTAACGTTATTTGACAAGTATGACAGTTTTTACGGTCCGTGCGTTCGGTATGCAACACACGACACAGGTTATGATTCCACGGGCTTTTGCTTTATGCATAATTGGTTTTACTTCATTAATTAACATTCTAAGGGCCGATACTTTTGCTCTCGATTAACGAATTTGATACGTCGTCAAAGTTTTGCATGGATGGGCCAAGGTCTATAAGTATGATGTGGTTGGAGCACATTCAAACCCCTGATTATTTTTACCGGCTGTCAAATGAGAGCAAAAGTACCGGCACTAAGACTTTAGATCTCGTTTGCATATTTCCTCTTTGCCTATTATCCTATCATGTTAATCAAGATTAAATAATATTTTTCATCATAAATTTGAATTCGAAACTACGACTGCTGGCGCAAACAGCTGACGACTTAGTTAATGACGCCGACAATGGTGCTACACCATATGACCGCGATTATCAAAAACGAGGTCGATAAGCAATTCGGTAGTAACCTGTATTATCCTTGTATCAGGATACACCCTGTGTTCAACAACATTTGTCGGCTTAGGCCGGATTTTCATGCATCCGTTTTCCGACGAAATATGTCCGAAAAATCTTCTATTTTGACATATTTTTCTACGATTATGTCAGAATAGAATGTTTTTCGGACATCTTTCGTCGGACAAACGGATGCATGAAAATCCACCCTTACTGCTCTCCATCTTGGCGGTGACGTTACAGATCTCTGCCGGAGTGCTTTGAGAGCGATTATAATCCAACCGAGGGCACACCGTTTGAATTCGATTGCTGAACGTACTTTAATTTCTTTTATCAAACTCTTTGATCCATCGAATTTGACGGAGCAACAAAGAGCGCTCCGTGGAAGATTTGAGACCGTTCGAACACGTGAATCTCGCCGAGAGCAACGCTCTGCTCCGCCTTAATACGAACAGGTAAATCCGTTTTGGATCGCTTTTTGATTAATCGGTGCAGTTTTGATGCAAAATTTGAAAGCGCTATTTGATAGATTAAAATATATCGTATCGATACCTATCTTATCGATAAACCCTTCTCTAAGGTATTCTGTCAACAAACCAATAACAAACCGCTGTGCTGTGCTGTCATTTACCGAAAAAAAAAATAAACAATTTTGATTTTTTTTTTTTAAACTTCCCAAAATAATTGAAAAGAATGAATAATAAAAATATAGAAGGAATATTTCTTTAAACTATTGGTCGATAATGAAAATAGTGCAAATGGCTGGAACTACAAATCGCAGCCATAATAGCAGCAGTAGCAGTAGTGACCCAATTTGGGCTACCGATGTGGAACTCCTACCATCAGAGGTAACCTATTCATTAAACAATCCCACAATATGGTTGTTAAATATCCATTTTCCTTAAGGAATGCCTTCCCATTATCGGCAGTTGTCAGGTCACTTCAATCCTCCAAAATTTGGACTCTACCCACAATGATCAAAATCTTCAAAATATGGACCTTATCATTCTAAATCCGAGCGATTATAAATTGCCTTTAGAAGCCCCATTAAATCTTCATACTAGCAGTTATATTGTTTTGAAAGATTCATCTGTTACATTAGAGGCTTGTTCCAATGCCAATAGCACAACTCAACAACATGAAAAACAATCAAGTAAGCTTACACTCATTTTTGCACACTTTTTATTTTTCAACTGCTACTAGATAATACAAAAAACTACACAATGGAAGATCCAAAAAATCTGGAACCAACAGATCTTAGCTTGAACATCGCCGACACAAGTAACTCCAGTAATACTTCAAGTAATTTAATATCTCCAAATCCCAAACACTACGATAAAGAATCATTTGAAGATATGCTCTATTTTGTTTGCAATCTTTGCCCCTTTCTATGTACCAAAGAGACACAAATTACGGAGCATTTAGAGAGCGTACACAAAAATAAAACTGTAAGCAAATTAGTTCAAATGAAATGTCCTGCTTGTGCGAATATTTTTTATCATAGAGCTTCACTGAAAAGTCATTTATTACATGATCATTGTGTGGCGAATAACGATCTCAATTTGATTGTACAGGTAAGAGTTCACTTGAGTATTTTGTTTTATTTAATTATTGATATTAAATGCAGGCTGTTATGTTTTATTCAAATAAAGAAAACAAAAAAGAGGAAAATAAAAAATTGAATAATGATGCCAAAGCTTTAAAAAATAAAGATAAGGTAGTGGTGGAAAAAACTGCAGGAAAAGCAGTAGAAAGCAATTCTAGTAAAAATAATGTAACTCAGTGTAAGAGTCAAAATAAAGATGTAATAGATTTGATCAAACCTGTGAATTCTGACTCAATAGAGACTCTACCAGGAAGTAGCACCCAACAAATAAACGAATTAGAGGTAAAAAATTACCTTGTTATTACAAATTAAATCACAACTTGATTATTTCTAGACAGTTGTTGCAAATCCAGAGCCAGTACCGGAAAAAATCCCGCTGCCGCAGGTGGACATCACAACCAACAACAGTGAAGAACTCATAACAAATTTAATGAAAAAATCCGATGCTCTAGTAAAATACATGAATTCCCAAAAGTGTCCCTTTGCGTTCTGCAAAGTGCTTATGAGCGACTCAAAAAAAATGGATTACCATATTGAGTCTCATTGCTATGAGGGATTCAAATGCGTCGAATGTCAAGTAGGTACCTAATAACGTGAAAAATTTGGGTTAAAAAGCACCTAAAATTCATTTTCCAGGAAATTTTCATGTCATGGAAAACTCTGATGACACATTTATGGAGGTCGCACAAGGTTGATATGGAATTGTTTGGGTGCGACAAATGTGATTACAAGACACCTAGCTTGTCTAAATTGAATACTGTACATAAACTGATACACTCTAATGTCAAGGCATTTCAGGTAATAATTGTCCAAAGAACCAGTCGATTTGTAGATCAATATTTTAAGTAACTCTAAAATTTAATAATGTTGTTTTTTCCCTTCTCTGGGCTCAAAGTTTTATGTTATAATCCATCATATAGTAACAGCATCAAATTCTAGTGTGACATATGTGAAAAAATGTTCAAAAATCAAAAGCAAGTAAGAAATCATAGACGCATCCACCGACAAAACGTCGTGAAAGAAACAGAAACATGTGAGTTGTGCCCGAGAACTTTCACAGACAAAAGAAGCTTAAGATCGCACATGGATTCCGTACATAAAAAATTGAAACCGTTTTTGTGCAATTACTGCGATTATAAAGGTTCCTGTAAGACATCATTGAAAATGCATATAAGATGTCATACTGGAGAAAAACCATTTTCTTGTGACCAATGCGAATATGTTACAGCAGATCATAATTCATTGCGAAGACACAAACTGAGGCACACTGGACATAAACCTTATAAATGTTCTTATTGTTCTTATGCTTGCATCCAGAGCAGTACATACAAGGTAATTATGTCTATTATTGTTGTTTGAGTTGTAGTATTTTAATTTTACAAATGAACAAAATTTATACTGCTCTTAATAATATAGAAAGTTTTTAAGAATGGCAATATAATATGTTTTGACAAAATATTTAATTAGGAAGATATACTTAAGTTAATGATAAATGTTTTCAATTAATTTTTAGGTTCATCTGAAAACCAAACACCCCGGACTGGAAAAAGATCATATGTTTTCATGTTCCCTGTGCCAATTCAGGACTGTTAATAAGGAATTGTTTAATTCCCATTCTCATTCAGTTTCCTTGCAGGAACAGAAAGTGGTTGGTAGTTAAATAGAAAAAAAATTTTAGAGGACTTTTGAATTTTTTTCAGAGAAAAATTGTGATAAATAATTTTAGGAAAAGCTTTATTAAAATATATTTATTAACTGAGGTTTAATTCCGTAACCTATTCAGTCCTGTGATGTATCATTTTCTATTATTTTAAGAGCACCATTATTAACAATAATCAATGTATCATCTAGCCTAAAAGTCATTCAAGTAAGTTGAAATCTCAATGTGGAAAAATTTCAAATTTCAACATTTTTGTACTACGGATGGAGTTATATTTCTAAAAACTATGAAAAATCGTATCCCCACCACAAAGAGCACTGGCTTGAGCACTACTGGAGAATACTCCAAGAATTCCAATCTAAAAAAAACCTCCTATTATAGGGGGTGCGACTCAAAATGAAAGTTTTAGTGCAAAAAAATCTAAGAATAATTATTTAAACCGCATCTTGCTATGATGAACCATTTTCGAGTTAAGGTGATTTAAAATTACAAACGCCTAGTGTTTATCAAACCTACTGAAAATCAACATATCCAAATACAAATCAATAACATTCCACAAGAGTACATATCCTCACATGTCAGCATATAAGATTGGTGGTCAACAAATTGATAATGTGGAATTCATCAACGACCTTTGAGTAACGTTCAATCAAAAACTGATATTCAAAATGCACATCGATAATATTGTTGTCAAAAGCTGCAGATTGCTTGGCTTTATTAAGCGAAATACCAAACACATCAACGACACCAACACGCACTTACGTGTCTTTACAACGCCCTTGTACGCAGCACTCTTGAATACTGCTCCGTCATCTGCTGGTCCCCATATTATACCATCCATGTTAATAGACTAGAGAACGTCCAAAACCAGATTTCTAAAATACCTACCTACTATATAAACACCGCTTTCCTTCATCAATATCTTATGAAACCAGACTGTTGCTGTGTGGGATCATTATTCTTTACAAAATCCCGAATAATTGGATAGATTGCAGCACATTATCGGAATCAATATTATTTTTGGTCCCCATTATTAGCAAACCAGACAACATCAGAACATCAACTTTTTTATGAGCACCCGCACAGAACAAATTATGGATTCACAGCTTTTGTGGACAGAATGATTTGCAATTACAACAGAAATTATAGGGAGTGTGATCTTTTAAATTGTTCCTTATTAACTATTAAACGTTGTCTAAACTTTAGATTTTAATTTATATTTGCTTATGTGTAGGTACTACTACTCGAACTACTGTTGTTCTCTGTGATTTTGTCCAATATCTTATTTTTCAACCATATTTTCATATGTATGTACCATTTAGAAAACTTATTGTTATTCTGTAGTGTACTGATTGAGTACCTAAATAAATAAATAAAAAAATAAATAATGAAAACATGTCACATTGAAGAGACAGGATAAAACAATAGAAGGAATTTCCTTAGAAAGTTAGGAAATCGTTTTATAGTTGGGGGTGACTTTAATGCAAAAAATACCTTCTGGGGTTCCAGACTAACCAATTCCAAGGGGAAGGAACTTCTACAAACCAAAAATGAATATCAATGCGAGCCCATATCCATTGGTAAGCCAACATATTATCCAACAGATCCTGGAAAAACTCTCAACTGGTCTAATTGATTTTTTGTAGTAAAAATATATCTTCAAGTTTTCTAGAGATAGAAGAAAGTTATGATTTAGGCTGGCCTCACACAGCCGGAATGTCTTTCTGAATTCAGAAACGGAATGCCTGATCTGACCTCATAACTTACGGAATTGTATATTTTTATTATAGGAGCACACACATTCTGATTCTTTCAGATTATGAATATTTCATATCGATTTGCTAGTGACTCTGGCGAGCGTTTTGATTTCCGGATCTGGAAAATTAAGATTATAATTCATAGTTAACGCATTTTTTTTCACATGTTTCAAAGATACAAGCTCACACAGCCAGAATTCAGATTTCAATTATGCACAGTAGACGTGGTAATGTAATGACCCGGGAAAATAGACCCGTAAATTACAATGTCTTAACTGTAAAAATTAAATGTAGGTACCTAATCAAATAATCAAAAACTGAATTTCCGGTATTTGAAATCAGTGTCAAAAAACTGAAAAGGAAACAAAATAGAGTTGACAAAAAATTAAATTAAAATATTTTTCTACAAACGTGTTAAAAATGCAATTTTTAACACCGCCCCGAAGCATTAAAAATGTTACTTTATCGCACTAGTGCCATAAAGTCTTTATAGCACTAGTGCTAAAAGTGAAACATCAAATTTTGAGAGCGGACGTCAAAAAAAGTTTGTATTTTCAGTTATTTACATTGATATTAATGGTGAAATTTGAACAACTGAGGTAGCCCGATTGGCCGCCTCATCTATATTTTTCGAAGGATCGATGCAACCCTCTTTTTCTTCTGTATTTTGTTGCATTTTTAGCAAAAAGCATTCCTGACCACGACAGACTTTCAAGAAACTGAAAAGACATTTCGTTACCTGTAAAACAAGGTGCTGGTTGTATGGATTTTTTGACAAATGTCAAATTCGAGAATTTTATGTAGGAAAGATGCTTCCAATTTATTATTCATTTAAAAATCCAATTTGTTACTGGTTATTGCTTTTTATTACGGTTTGTAGAAAAAATATTGTATAATATTTGTGTTAAAAGTATTTTTAAGGCACTTATGTGAATTGCAGAATTCGCTTCGCTCATTCTGCAAACTTTCACATGCGTGCCTTAAAAATGTACTTTTAACACTTATATCATAAATAACTATTATATACGTTAAAATTTTATTATTTAGTCACCAAGCGTGATGTCATCTCCTAAATCAAATCAATGAACTTATTAAAAGCGAGGCCAAAGTAATTAAATAGGTGATTTATGGCGCACGTGTGTCGGTATTCTTTGAGTTATATGTGACATTCTTATAAGAAATCTGTTGACCCCGATAAACCAGGAAATTGCAACATGATTATTCGATTTTAAACAAATAAAAGAGGAATGTTATTGAATGATGAAATTTAGAATTTTTGGGGGAACGAAACATATAAATACAGCGGTTTTAGAAATGGAGGGCAGTTATCAGTTCAGTTGAGTTTAAGTTCAGTCCAGTTTGATTTAAAAGTCTACAGTACCTAATGAGTCAGTCCGGATAAAATTCGCGATGTTTCTTTTATTTTTGCCCCGGGGAAAACGTGATTTATCGAATCTTTGTAAAAGTACAGAAAATTGTAAAAGAAAGAACATTTAAAGTCTTTCAACACTATGTGCGAGCTCTAAATCAAAAGAATTAAATAAGATTAGTTTAGTGTTTTATGGACAAAATGTAAGTACTCTATAGTGACTAGTTTTATTTTTGACTATAAATGATGAATGAGTATGAAGTGAATTAAATTTGGAACTTTATTGCGTAATTATTAATAACTCGAGCGTTGTGACTATGGAACATTATTGCATAACTTTAATTGCCTTCGAGTAAAATGACATTTAGAGAGTTATTGGACGTGCAATAAGGACAAGCAGTATTTAAATTAGCCTTATTTTGACATCTACGCATGCGCATTTGGGTCTGAAAATAAGGATTCTCTTACTAAGGTTACTGCTTGTCTTTATTTGTGTATGATGGTTAGTGCGAGGCAGTAAACTTCCCTTATTTCAATATTTCTAACATTTTTGACGACTTTGACGTTTCGCTTTTCGACGATGACGTATTTTTACTTAGAGAATTTGTTTTTTTCAATTATTTTTCATTTTACTGTAGGTAACATCAAAAAATGGGTATCAGCAGAAATTCACAAACAAAAATTAACACTTTTTGGGTTGAAATTTATGGCGTTTCCGATTGGTAGATTCAGTGCGCACTGAGTGTATTTGCATCCTTTTAATCGACTTGTAGAAGAAAAAGACAGAAATAGAAAAAAATGCACTAGTTCCGCACTAGATCTACCAATCGGAAACGCCATTATAAACATAGCTATCAGCTGTCAAAATTATGAATATAAAATAAGGTAATTCTTAACACCTTCTACAGTCTTCCAATAACTGTTATTTTCTTGGAGAAATAGTGCTGATGCACTAATAAAATAACGTAGATCCTTAATACTGCGAGGCAGTATTTAATAGTTCCAATAACTCTCTATTATAATTAATTTTGCAAAGAGCAGTTTGAAGGGGGAATTTATAATGCACTTAACATGTATCGATTTTGCGTAGGAATGGACCTTTCTCATGCAATGAACAACAAGGATAGTTTATTAAGATTTCTGCAATAAAGAAAAAGACACATATAATGACGCGCGATACCTGTGTGGAATGACTTTGATTGGTTCCACTTGTCAAATTGTGCAATTTCGGTTATGTTTCTGTTTTTGTTTATTTTTAAACGTAAATAGGTATGACAAAATACGTATTAACATTAATTAGAAAGAAAACCCACCGCAGCAAAAATGTTTGCAGCAAACCTTTAATTGTACATTATTATTGTATTTGATATAAAAATCGTTATTTTACGAACCCTCAAATCTCTGTCCCAACTTAAATCGTCTTCATTCGGGTTGAGAGCACGTAACTATTGTTTTCTTACAATTTGATTGCTTGGGAACTTGTGAAAAGAAAGGTTTCACTTCTTTTTCGCCTAATTCTGACAAGAACTCATTCAACTCATTTGAACCATTGTATCATAAACAGTTTTTGTATTAATTTTCAGCAATATTGATTGATACTGATTGATTATTGAGGTTAGCTTAAATACGTCAGGGTCAGACCGTGTTCAGTAAATTGACGATTTAATTATCTGTCACCCACAAGATGCGCGCGCAGCACAGGTAAAATGAGAAAGGTCCATTATTAGAGAGTTATTGGGCGTGCAATAAGGACAAGCAGTATTTAAATTAGCCTTATTTTGACATCTGCGCATGCGCATTTGGGTCCGAAAATAAAGATTTTAATAAGGTTAATGCTTGTCTTTATTTGTGTATGGTTAGTGCGGGGCAGTAAATTTCCGTTATTTCAAATTTCTGACATTTTGGACGACTTTGACGTTTTGCTTTTCGACGATGACGTAATTTTACTTATTTACAATAGTTTTCCATT